AAAACTGATTTAAGCAGTTTTGAGGAAGTATGTTGAAACTTTTTTCGCGTACTCGTTTTTAAGTGCGAAGGGAAAAATTATAATCTGTATGTTGTTTAACAATGGCTTTCATCTTCTATTAGTTTTAGTCGGTTTCAAAAGTAGAAAACATGCGCTAAAACCTATCTTTAAAATTAACTTTTTTCTTTCAAGACGTCACTGAACTGTGTATGCGCCAAAAAAACCCACCAAAATTATTAGCATCCTTTTAAGCACCTTTGTCGGCATTTGAATACTAGTACTTTTTTATTATTCATAATTTGAAATTTATAAAATACCATAATTGCGATGGGGGTTTTACTTTATTGTACTTTATGTTTTTTTTTTAACTAAATAAGTACCGGTATATCCGAACATACAGGACGTATACTACGTTTAGCAAGGGGTGTATAGACTTTTGAAGCGAAAGAAACGGGGCAAAGATACATGCCTTTTCAATTTTCTCAAATTACGGATATTTACTGCCAGAAAACATGTGTCTACGGACGACAGCATTATCTATGGAGTATATGGATATCTATGGATCTACCTTACGTTTTAAAGTTTGATCAAACACTGCAGCGTTCCACAATTCCTAAACATTCCTCGTACAACATGTTGCATACACCCTTGGCACAACATTGATTTTTCTTCAATATCTTTAGTATAAATGCAAACTGTTTTATTTACAGACAATTTGTAAAACTTTTATATAGATTACATGTATTTAACGACAATACAAAAAGATAGAATATGTAAAAGCGAAGCTTCTCTCTCATATTTGATTATAAACACAATGTGTAGCGTCAATCTTGCTCTTGTTCTCGGAATGGTGTAAAGGATAAATAACAAAAATCAAACTTTTTTTCAGAAATCAGCATTATTTCTCATCGATTTACATTTACATTGACAACCAGAATAATGTTTACGAAGTAGAGTGGGAGAATTTTATAAGATTTTGTCATAAATTTTAAAAAAAATTGTGCAAAATTTTGTATGGAATTATATAGAAGGCAAAATAAAATCTCAAATCTAAGCACCAACCAAAACCTACGATTTCTTTATATTTCAGGGATTTTTTTTTTATATCAATACAAATCAAAATCAGTCAAAAAATATATATCAACCCGCGCATCCATTTTTTGTTTGTGGTAAGTACCCTTAAGGTGTTTGATCAAATAATACAGCGTAAAGTGTACTCATAGTTACCCATATACCGGTATTCATTAAATAATGCTTCATTCTGTAGATACATGGTTTTTTTTGCGAAAAATATTAAGTTGAGAAAATGGGAAAATATGGAATCCGGATAGGGCTATGCATTTTACTATCACGCCATCGAGCATCGACTAAAAAAGGTCGATGGCACAATAATGCGATGGTGCTATAACGATGAAGCAATGGTGCGATAGCGCGATGACGATAATGCGATGGCGCAATAATGCGATAACGATGGTGCAATAACACGATAGAGCGATAGTGAATATCGCTTCATCGTCAACGTACTATCATACCATTTTCATTTCACCATCGTGTCATCACTATCGAACCATGAAATCATCGCACTATTGTTTCATCGTGCTATCGCAACATCGTCATGGCAATTGTCGCACCATCGGATCGTCGTCATCGCACTGACGCAGCATCGCTTCATTTATCGCACCATCGCTTCATCGTCATCGCATTGTCGCTTCATCACAATATCGACCTAAACCGCGATGGTGCCATGATGCGATAGTAAACTGCGTGGCCCTATCCGGATTCCATAGAAAAACGTACTTTGATCCCTTTCTTCCGCTTCGAAATCCTACATCCCGTGCACAACATAGTATACACCCTTCATCTTGCGTCATACACGGTGTAAATAGCACAGCAAATTGCGATATAAAAGGACCAAAAAATCCTGATGAATTTTTCATATTTTTTAGAACGTAATCTAAAGACTAATTTCAATGAAAGTATTTCATTTAATTCATTTGGTATTTGAACTGATTTTTTCTTTATCGTGAAAATAAAGTTAAAATCCTCACATAAATTTTCAAAATGCCTATCAAATTAATAATTTCAAAATACAAATTTTAGAATGATGAAGATTAAATTGAAGTAAATAAATAAATGAAACGTTCAAATAATTGTACCCGAATTAGAATCGTTACTAGATAAAACAATTATATATATTTCAATTCTAGTTAATTCTTGTAACTAATTACATCTACTGTACTGTATATTCTCAGAAAAACTAAGCTGTTCTAAACAAAACCAGCCAATCTGAGATAACATCATATATACATGTACATCTCTTTGAACCTCATTCATTCAAATAAAATTAAAAAAAAATAATTATTGTTCAATGCTTCAACGTTTAACCTCTCTAAATATCTTTTGTAGTGAAATTACTTATTCTGTGTGGAAATCTGATTTTATCTGATGCAGCCTTAACTATTACCGACATTTGCAGTGATAAGACTTAAACTGGTTTTTCATATTACATGTATATAAAGACATACTTTGATTGCGTTGTTAAAATTTAATATTTAAGTTTATTATACATGCATTTTAGTTTAGGAAAATGTTTTACTAATATCTATTTATATCTTATATGTACTTCATATGTATAGAATGTGTGGAAGGTAACAACAAGGATTCATGTTGTAAAAGCTGCATTTCAAAATTTGGTAAAGAAAAAGGTAAAACATTAATAAATGATTCTTATTCGATATCATTTTCTAATCCCAGGCAATGAATATAATGAGAGTTTTTTTCGATTTAAGGGGGCCGACTATAGTTTCCATTGCGCAATATTTCGCGCTTCATAGTAAAATGAAGCGATTTTACGGTTTTAATGCAACCTTTTTCGCTTAATTATTAAAATTAAACAAAATTAAGAAATTATGGGTATAAAAATGTAATTACAATTTGATATAACTGATTTTTTAACGAATTTTGCAATTGATAGGTAGGTTGACGTCGTTGCAGTGTGTTTTGACGTTATGATAATCTGTAGCTCTTAAAGAAAGGGATAATAAAAATATTATTAAAGAAAAAGTAATAAACATACGCTATCGAAATTTAAAACATAGAAATTTGAGAATATGTCCAATATTTTTATTATGTTTTCAAGTGAATGCATTGTGTGCGTCATATTTTGTAATACTCTATAAAAATGGTAAAATTTGCTAATTTTGTGCATTTTGAGATGCCCCCTCTGGTAACAAGACGGTAGAATTCTGTGTTTCGTACATATATTGTATAATATAGTATTTCTCATCAAATATTATAGTTTGAACAAAATGTCTATTGTAGTATTTGAATGATTTGCTTTAAAGTGCTAAAATTTGGCATTTCTTTATATAATGTATCTGTATTTTGAGACGGTCCTCAAAAATACCTGGACAGTAGATTTCCCCCAAACTTTGCATGAACACTAAAATTAATGTAAGTTATATATGGTATAAAAATGAAGAGTTTCGCTATTGTAGTTTTCACAGAATGAAACTAGAGTCAACCCCATTAAACATTATATTTTTTGCTCGTGTTTATTGTTAGCATATTTTTTTAAAATATTCTAAATACGTATCTCTTTGTTTTTTGTAGAAACAGATTTTAATTCTCGAGTCAGTAAATTATTTATCTCTAATATACACGAATGTTCAGGTGGGTATTATTAATGATAAATGAGTATTAGAAATGATAAATTATGTTCTTCTTGAGACTTTATTTTGATATATGTATATATAATGCACGTTTGTGTTTCAGCTTGTGTTTCTAACAGTAATGCTAATGATGACGTCTCTAATAATGATTGTACAGATAATTACAATGACGTCTGTGATAAGTGCACTGCTTGTGATTCGATATATGGTATGTAAGAATTAGATAAGGTCAAGTCTAGCAATTAAACATTTTAAAGTATGCATTGTAATAGATTATTATGTATCAAAACGGCAAATGAAATATAAAATGCATATTTATAAATTTTTTATATCTTTCTTTTATCAATCTACAGAAAATAAAAACACTACAAGTAAAGACTCAACCAATATACCAAAAAATATTACAAAAAGAAATTTATAATTGCATTTCACGGAGCACGTGACAATTGCGATTTCTTTAATTTTGGAATATCGTTTTACATCAAACTATATCGCTTTATCAAGTAATTTTCAAGATGGGGCTGTTTTTGGAGACCAAAAAATTAATTGTGTTGCGTTGAACAGTGTGCTTAAATTTCTCACAATTGAATACAATGAAACATTTACATTAACACGAGCATCAAATTAAGTCTAAATATTTTTTGCAATTTGTTGTAACAAACGTAAAACTAATACTGACAATCCGTTTAAAAAAATCAATAATTTTATGCTCATGTATTATAAGAATATCATTTAACTTGGGATTACGACAATAACCGTAGAGAAAAGCGTATGGCTAAAAAGTTTTTTTTAAATATTGTAGTCTGTTTTGGGAGATTCTTTTCAACTCAAACAAGTAGATGCAAAGAAATGTCCAAAAAGGACGTTAGTTCTATTTTACCAGGTAAGTTTAATCTTGTCAGATAATAATATCCCTCATGAATTGAACCCTCAAAAATCATTATTTTTTTAATTTTGGAATAGAAAAAATATAACATCAAGGCAAAAACTGTAAGATACCTAATTTTATCCTATTTTTTTTAAGGTAATAAGCTAATTGTGACACAGATTTCGTCGACCGTGTCCCCTTCGTTATTGACTGAAGAGAAAAGTTCCAGAAATACATTATCCTCTAGCGAAAGTATGTTTTGTGCGTCATGATTCATTTTTTTTTACACGAACTATTACTTAAAATTTTAAGGGAAAAAGTAATATTTTTAGAGAAAAACTGAAAGAACTGAAAAGAAAAAGAAAAGCAGGGATATATATATATATATATATATATATATATATATATATATATATATATATATATATATATATATATATATATATATATAGTGTTGGCAACGAGTACCCGGTTAACCGCTTAACCGTCGAACGATGCGAGTATCGGTTACTAAAACTGCTATTCAGTTGCTCGGATAAAAATACATTTCTCATATTAAATATGTATAAAATAATTTTTATGTTATTTGTAAATGTATATTGACACATTTCCCTATTTTAATTACCGTTAGGCTTGCCCTAGTGGTTCACAATAGGATCGATTTGTTTTGATTATTTTAATTGACGGCTTTAATTGCCAGTGGGTACACGTTTTGAAGACTGGGTTATAATTACCTCATTTAGACATGTGTTAGTCTGAGGAACATACTTTAACAAGATGCCGCTGCAAATATCTAAAGCGTGGAAATATTGTTAAAGAACGGCTAACTCTAAATCTGTCAAATTAATTTCAATTTATAAGAATCGGAGTTGTCGTATGCAGGTGGGACTACAAATATCCCGTTCTGCTAAATCACCGAAGATTGAAAAATAATTAGATATGTAACCAGTGATATGCATGAAATTCAACAAAAATTTAAAAAAAAAATTGCAAAGTGTTACAGGGTATGTTAATTCTCCTCGATCGCAACAAATGTCTTCTTCAGGTGTCGATAAAATTATTTTCTTAAACAAAAACAAATTACCCGTTTCAAGTGACATTTAAAATGAAAATACTTCGAAGATGTTGTGTTATTGGAGTTTGTATATGTAAATAAAGTTCATATATATAACATTTATTATCTATTTTCTATCAATATGTAAAAGGATGAGATTGATAATAAATACGGAAACTAAAATATAAAATCATCCGAGTAACCGGGTACTTGATCGGAAGATTAAGCGATTAACCGGTTACTAAAAATCGTCCGATTTGCCAACACTAATATATATATATATATATATATATATATATATATATATATATATATATATATATATATATATATATATATATATATATATATATATAAAGCACTAAAAAACCAGCAACACTGTGTTTTCTTTGTCCTGAGGAAGGGACAGGGCGTCCCGAAAATTTGACAATTTTTATTGTTCGTGTCGTTGGTCATTTTTAGTGTTTTATAAAGGGAAAAAAATAATATTTTTAGACAAAAACTGAAAGAACTGAAAAGAAAAAGAAAAGCAGGGATATATATATATATATATATATATATATATATATATATATATATATATATATATATATATATATATATATATATATATATATATATATATATATATATATATATATATATATATATATATATATATATATATATATATATATATATATATATATATATATATATATATATATATATATATATATATATATATATATATATATATATATATATATATATATATATATATATATATATATATATATATATATATATATATATATATATATATATATATATATATATATATATATATATATATATATATATATATATATATATATATATATATATATATATATATATATATATATATATATATATATATATATATATATATATATATATATATATATATATATATATATATATATATATATATATATATATATATATATATATATATATATATATATATATATATATATATATATATATATATATATATAATATATATATATATATATATATATATATATATATATATATATATATATATATATATATATATATATATATATATATATATATATATATATATATATATATATATATATATATATATATATATATATATATATATATATATATATATATATATATATATATATATATATATATATATATATATATATATATATATATATATATATATATATATATATATATATATATATATATATATATATATATATATATATATATATATATATATATATATATATATATATATATATATATATATATATATATATATATATATATATATATATATATATATATATATATATATATATATATATATATATATATATATATATATATATATATATATATATATATATATATATATATATATATATATATATATATATATATATATAAAGCAATAAAAATGACCAACGACACGAACAATAAAAATTGTCAAATTTTCGGGACGCCCTGTCCCTTCTTCGGGACAAAGAAAAATGTTAAAAAGTCATAAGAACAAAGGAAAAAAGATAAATAAAAACAACTAGCACTACTACTAAACTACTAAACACTATATATTTACAAACTTAGTTACATGTTGAATTAGAAATTTTTAAGAACACTATTAATGGAAGAAATCCGGACCGCTATGAAATACGTCCGGTCTATCGGGTATACTCGGGTGAAGTGCGATTTACATAATTGAACGAATTAATTATGCTAATTAATTACGACAATCAGTAAATCGTACATTGTTTCATTCTCTCAATGAGGCGTAACTATACTTGATTAAGAATAATCAAAGAAAAATAATATAGCAGGGATATTTTAAAATATGAATTATGATCTATTATAAATTTTGAAATATTTTAGGACTTATTATCGGGAAAAAATAATTAACAAAGGCGTAAACAATTCATAGTTATGTGGGTTGTTCGAGAGTTGGTGACGCAAATTAACTGTAGAGTTAACACTAAATTAAGAGAATAATCTTGTTTAGTATCTTCAGGAATTGGGTCTAGTTAACGTTCATTCTGGTGAAGTCATTCAGTTTGTTATTACCATTAGGGCGGAATGACTTCAATCTGTGCATCCAGAACTTTTCTTTGCTTTTTCTCTGGGCATCTGTCCATCTTGGGTTATGGTCAATCACCACTACTGTCATGTCCTCCCATTTGTGACCTTCAAGGTTGAAATGTTCCCCAACGGGTTCATTGAGTTTTTTGGTCCTAATGGTCTAACAGTGGTTATTGACTCTCCTGCGGAGATCTCCTGTTTCACCAATATACTGTTTGGAGCAAACTTTGCAACTGATGAGATAAATGCAGTTGTCAGTATGACAGGATAAGTTCCCTAATATTTTGTGGCTGCGGCCTGTAACAGGGCTGTTAAAACTGTCTGTGTCAGTGCTGTGCTTAAAAGAAGACATCTTCTGTCAGAGCAAAATTTAAAGCCCCGTTAGGTAATGGGTTGTCCAGTCTGGTTCTTACTACCATGTCCTTTAGGTTCCTTGGGCGCCTGTATGCAGTAAGGTAAAGATCCATACCACGTAAAATAACGTTATGTGACGTTATTCTCGTTTGTGACGTTATTACGTCAAACGCGCCCGACGCTTATTCTATCAAAAATGCCTGACGTCGATTTCACTTATTGTAAAAAAAAGGTACATTAATTTCCAAATAAAAGGCATAAATATACGATGTTCAGTTATTTTCCGGGATGCATGATCGAAGGAGAGTTTAAATTTAGATGATTCGTCAAACCGAAAGTACAACAAAGATGGCATGGAAGATTCATTGTCTCGAGTACAAGATAACTAAAAGACTTCGACAATCGGGTCGTTTTTTTGTCTCTGTAAGTTGAAGAAATACAGAGTAACAAATAAATGGTTCTCTTGTCGAAAGTCATTATCGTTTGCTTACATGTTTGTACATAGGCTTGGGAGCTTACATGTTTGTAGTACATAACCATTTTCGAACCACGTACGGCTCTGAAAGTATTCAGGTACCTAACTACTTTGCTTCAATATTAACTATATATTTCGATTTTTATAAGTCAATTTTAGCTCAATTTTCATGATTTTTTCACTGAAACATGCAGAATTATTCAAATTTTCTTATCTTAAATGATTAACAAAATGATACTTAAACTATTGAGAATAAATCATAAAATATTGTCATTTTCTTAACAAATTGAAGTCTAAAAATTTTTGTTTTGCACTTGCATAAAGATAAAACTCTACAACAAATTCTGCATTTTATGGTGTTTTAGACATTAAAAAGAAACAATAAATGACACTGCAAGAATATTTTAGAAAAATGTGTTTCCTAATGAAATATATAGTGGAAAAATAAAATTATGTTTGGCCAAGTACTGTACTTTGCTTCAATATTCCGATTTTTATATGTCGTTTTTCTCTTCTCGATTGTTTGAATTAAAATATCGATTGACTCAGGATTTTGAAAAAAAATTATGGAAAACTTTTTTTTTACAATGTATATATCATACATAAAACAGTTACTGCACAAATATTAATGCTCTGTTATTTGGTATATCCTTGCACTGAAACATAAAATAATTATTGATAAAAAAAAACCCAGAATATTTCATTTAAGTAGGAAAGGACATTGATACATTGACAAAAAAATTCCTTAATACACATAATATGTGACATATATGCTGAAAATTTGGAAAAATTTGTTTTAAAGCTAGTGCACAATAATCTTTAGCTATCATTTGTAGTGCTTTGGGTATACAATGTAGTGTATTGCTGCACATGTCATTAGACTGACAGGTGTCCTGGGTTCGATTCTCTGGAAGTTGAAAAAATACAGAGTAACAAATAAATGGTTCTCTTTTGTCGAAAGTCATTATCGTTTGCTTATATACTTGTACATAGTACATAACCATTTTCGAACCTTTTGGGCCTCTTGTTATATGTTTGCTAGAGCCAATTTCCAAATTGATGATAAAATTACATATTTCTCATCTACGGTATATACAATATGTATAATAAATGAGAAAAACATACGTCGAACAGACCAAGGGGTCTATATCAGATGGGGAATGGGGATATTTCTGTCTTCAAGCACCCGTGAATAGTATAGCAATAGGTATCAGTCGCTAATAAGATAATGTGCAATTTTATGCATTA